TTTTTTTTTTTTTTTTTTTTTTTTTTTTTTTTTTTTTTTTTTTTTTTTTTTTTTTTTGCAATTAACCACTTGTTTTGTCATTGCAATCGCCGAACCTACGAAATAAACCCAAACGTCCCATTGTCTCGCGTCGCAATTGTGACAAACCACGACGAAAAGAAAAAAAAAAAAAAAAAAAAAGACAATCAACTTTCACGTGGGGTTTTTTTTCGCCCTTTGATCCCTGGGCTTGAACAAAAACACCAAAACGCCCTCGAGAAAGAATAACCTCCAGCCACGTGCACGAAAACACTTGGCACAATTGTATATACTACACAGAAAGAGAGAAAGAGAGACGAGGTCACCCGTGCAACACGAGAGCGCACACATAATATACATATACGTATACGCGCAAAATGGGGTAAAAAGCCTCGATGGATCCCAAACTCGTAATTGCACCACAAAAGAGAGAGAGAGAGAGAGAGGGAAGCCAAGCATCGGGCGACGATTAATCCGCGAGCAAAACAGAGAGCTCCACTTACGTAAATCGAGATGGAAGCGCGCGAGCCGGAACCGTTGAGCGTCCAATGGATAAGCCATCAGATCCATTCACTGCAGTGGTCCATTCACGCTTACGAGCGCGCATATACATTGTTACACTGTAATAAACGCGTGTTTCTCTGCACACGTGAAAAAGCGGAGCATTAAAAAATTTCGGTGCACCCCTCTAATCGGTGGATCCGAAACAATCGAGTCGAAGGGAGTATTAGCGCCCCTTCACTTATGTCGAACAATGTAACCGCGACACCACGTCAACATATCTATATATATGTATACGCGTTTCGTTCTCGATGTCTCTCTATCCAGAGCACGGATGATTGCATTGATTTTCATGGCAAACGAACTCGCGTCCCCTCCCCTGTCGCGGCGTTTTTTTGAAATTCCATTATCCGCCGTTTTGCATGTATACCATCGACTCGCTTTTAATGACGTTGCATTTTTCATTGGCCTCACAACTGAGTGCGGGCATTTAACATGCAATGGTCAGTATGATTATCGCACTCGTGAAATCGTTATGATTGGCCGTCATCCACTGGTGGTTGCAACCATTGGATTTGTCATCGAAAGGATTACGTTAGTTTGCTTGATAAGCTTTGTTCGCTAATTTGCTCGTGTGTATATAGTTTATCGGGTAATCGGTTGTATCGAAACGTCGCTTGCGAATTCGCCAGACAATACGAGAACACAAGGGAAGTGGTTTTTTTTTTTTCTCTCCTAGTTATATAGCGGTTTTTCGATTTCTACG